ATTATTTTTAATGATATTCTAATGGGCCGCTTTGTGATATCACAAAGCCCGGAAACCAACGCTGTAGTCCAAACGAGCTGTTCGTTGTAGTTCTTGAAAAGGGATTTTTAAAAAACGAAATATCTCCCGGTTTGGTCTGCAGTTTTGGGTGGAGATCGCTGATCCGTGACCATTCTATCAATTACAATAGGGTTTCAGCGCTACGCGCTTGAACCCAGTGTTGCCAACTAATTTTCAGGGGAAGTTGCCAAAGGAAGGTTGATATGTTGCTAAATGGCGTTGTGATGTCATTGCGCGATGACGTCATTATGTAATCATGACGCAAAATTGTCACTACATCGAATCTCAGCAAAAAAATATTTTATATATGTTCATTTATATTTGTTTATAAAATAATATACATGCATAATATAATATTAAAATATAAATAAATAAATAAATAAACACTGAATTGAGTACTTACCCTACACATTTTTGTACGATTACAATTTAAGTTTTATTATTATTATTATTATTATTATTATTAGCTTGTAAACTAGTAAAACTATATACATTCTGAACAATTACAGTTTTAAGCAGTGTATTGGTAGCTACTTAGTATGCTACAATCTAAAAGTCTGTAAAAAAAATAGGGCACAATCTACTATGTTAATGTAGAGGAATTTTCCAAATTGATTATTTACAGGTGTTTTCTCTGCTATTTAAATTATGCATTGTATTTAGTGTTTTCAGGTTACAACTACAACGGATAATGGATAATGTCCTGGAAAATTACTAACTTTTCCATGTTTCTAGATATTTTTTATTTTTACAGTGTACCAACAATCACAGGTACAAGCTACTAACAAGGTGTCATAAATGAACAATTATTCAATTATTAAATGATTCAGTTGTTTTTGTTATTATTATTAAATTTAACAACTGCAAATAGCAGCTAACTTAATTCGTGATATGTGTACTGCTAGTCATCTTTGGTTACTCTTTTTGTGTAATTTAGATGAAAAACGCTGTCCCTTTTATTGTTTAAGTCACTTATCAAAAGTTGCTAAAAGTTGCCAAATAAATTTTAAAAATAGCAAAATTTGTTGCTAGGTGCTTTTGGAAGAAAAGGTTGCTAGGGTAGTATGAAAAGTTGCTAAATGTAGCAACAAAATTGCTAAATTGGCAACACTGCTTGAAACCCTAATAACACTCACAGACATTGAGAGACAGGCGCTCCCACCCGTCCTAGAAATTAAAGAGCGAGGGTGAATGCGCATGCGCGGTTAGGAGGAAACGGCTGAGGTTCATTTCATGCTATGTGTGGTCGACTTCGCACCGATCAGAGTGAGAGAGCGAGGGACAGAGAGTAAGGAAAAGGGAGTTTAGGATTCACGCTTTGGGTCAGACAACTGAACGTGTTGCTTAAACTGCAAGAGGAGAACACGAAACGTCTGTAATGACAGCAGAGTCAAGTGAATTAAGTGAATAAACACAAGCGGCATTGCGCGGCTGATAGCAAGAGAGGCAGATAGATCCGAGAAGAGAAGAGAGGAAAAAGGGATATCCAGTCGGACTAACTAGTTGGGTTGCCCCGAAAGCGTGGACAAGGCTGTAAACCAGGTAAATAGCTCCTTAAACCATTCAAACAGCGGGCGTCATCCCGCGTAGCAACAACCTCCTCCCTCGAGATTGCCCTTTATCTATTTCACGCTTTTTGTCACCTTAACAAAGCAAACAGTAAGACTAAGATGCAGCATCTGTTGTAAATTGCGATGCATGTACCCGCAGGACATTTGCACTTATTCGTTTCCGCGAGTAATTTAGAATGACGACAAAATCTTTGGGCGTTTGGTGCAAAAACTAAAAACAATTTAAATGCGCGTCAAAGTTGCTACGCGGCAAGAAGACAAGATCAAAAAACTTGATCATAACTCAAGACGGCACGAGTCCACGCTGCGCCTCGCATCGTGGATTAGCTCAGCTTTTCAACATAGGAAACCTCGATTTAACCGCACAGGGGTTTGTTCTGCATTATAGTTAGATTGTGGGTCTGGTTCATGCGCTGTCATGTGCAGTTCAACGGTAACATACTTGCACCTGCTTGCCTGCGATTAGCGCGCTGCTCGGCGGGCCTTCGGTTTCTGATCCGTGCGCAGTGGCGGATCCAGCAGGCCTCACAGATAGCAGCCAGCTCACTGCGGCTGGAGGACACGCGTGTCCTTATGAACGCGGCTCAGACTCTCATTGTTCAAACATACATGGTTCTTATTTCCCGTAAGATGTGTCATTATTGAACTGTGCGATAGCAGCGAGTTGTGTGGATTATCTCAGCTACATGTGCAACTCACTATAGACCCTGCGATGCGCAGTGATTATTCATATGATGTTATCTATTTCAAAAGTGGAATTCGGATGTTTTAGCATTTTGAATGTGGATTGAAATTTCTTCAAGTATCGATATGTGCGTGATCATATCTCACTTGGGCCCTTCCCACGTGAATACTTGCAGACCACAATTGCGCACAGTTAACTGAATAATGTAAAGCTACTCAAATGTTGTCTTCTAACCGTTTAATTACGATTATGTAATTGTTGACAATTATTATTTAGGGGTAATTACACATTTACAATAGCTAAGCATGTCAGAAGTTCAGTTCACAGGTGCCATGCTCTTGTTGCCTTATATAGCTTATGCAAAACTAGGGAGGCATGAGACTACAATTAATGAATGGCAGCGCTGGGTTTTAAGGATTAAAATTCCACGTGATTTTAATTTCTTGAAGGATGAGAAAGGAAATTTGTTTCAGGTAATGAACAAGTTGTTACAGTTTGATGAATGGGTTATACTGGTCTATTTATGTTTATTTAAAGAATGGCAATATTGTTAACCACTGTACTTGTGGCTCATCAATCCTTAGATAAAACATGGCGGATGCTGACCTGGACTTCACAACAGGCGATGCTGGTGCCTCTGCTACCTACCCCATGCAATGCTCTGCCCTGCGCAAAAATGGTTTTGTGGTGCTAAAAGGTCGACCATGCAAGATTGTGGAAATGTCCACATCTAAGACCGGCAAACATGGACATGCCAAGGTGAGTGATGGTCTGTGACAAAGTAGAAAAATATAGCAGTTGACAATTTAGCTAGACTAGTGCACATCATTTTCATTTACCTTGAATTCAGTAACACTGATTTTAATAGATGCATAAATCTGTTAGATGAGTACTTCAGAGCAAAACACATTTTATTTAGCAGTCATAGTATTGATGTTAACTGTCGAATTACATGGATTATGTATGGATGAATGTTTGTTTTGCAAAATAAAGGAGTTCCAGAAGTCTCTCTATACAAGGTTTTATAAATTAGGTGCATGGGCATGTGAAAGGGGGGCCATTCATTCACACAGTGTGAGGGATGATGCGGATTAAATTAAGTGAGCTGATTTTGAATAGCAGCAAATTAAACCCCATGCTTCCCTTTATTTTGTTTAAAGGTTCACATGGTGGGCATTGACATCTTCTCTGGCAAAAAGTATGAGGATATCTGTCCCTCAACCCACAATATGGATGTCCCTAACATCAAAAGAATGGACTACCAGGTATGTTATTGGGAATATTAGACACAGATGTACTGTAAGTAAATCATACAGTGTTTCACAAATTTCTTTTTTTTTTTTTCACTCTTTAGCTTATTGGCATACAGGATGGCTACCTGTCTCTGCTCCAGGACAGCGGTGAGGTCAGAGAAGACCTAAAAATGCCAGAAGGAGACCTGGGCAAAGAGATAGAAAGCAAGTTTGATGCCGGTGAGGAAATCCTGGTAAGTGCCATTAAATCAGCCACCTTTCAAATGTTACTGAGCAAACGTTAATAGTGTAACCTCTTCATGTTTCTTTGCAGATCACTGTCCTGTCTGCTATGAATGAGGAGGCTGCAGTAGCTATCAAAGCCATGGCTAAATAAAACACAGCAGGTATATGGAGCTCTTACTGCTGTGTGCACATACTCACCTGCTAACTAGGCCCGGAGTGACTGTGCCTCACCAGTGTGCTTGCAGCAAAGCACTTATTCAAATGTTTACTTTTACTTTAAACAATAAAACAAACACCGTATTATTATTAATATTATTATTATTATTATTATTATTTATTTTTGTCCTGGATGCAATCAGTGCCCAGTAATCGACCCAGGATCTTTAATACTTATTCAAATGTTTACTTTTACTTTACACAATGAAACAAACCTTGTAATAATATTATTATGATTGTCATATGCAATCTGCTGCAGTGTTTGATGTATCTGGTATGTAAAAGCAGTGACGTAAAGCAGTAAGATGTAAATAGAATTTTCGGATTTAATTTTGTATTTTACTCTACCGGCTAAACACGCTGTATTGTAAAATAACTTTTTAAGAAGCACTATAAACAATTATGATATGTGTTAAAATTACCCATATCTGATGTTCCTCCGAGTTCATGGGAGAGTCATTAAGTGATTGCGTAGTGGCTTATTGTGCACTTTGACTTTGGGCTTCAAAATGAATGGCAGATATCCAAGCAATTATTTCAGACTCTGTTTAGTAATGGAGAACCCAATTATTTCTGTAGACCGCCTGTCTACATTTATATAGAACCTTTGTTTTGGACAGTCATATATTTTTGATTTAAGATTTTTACAAGCTTCCTCCTATTTGTGTGTTGTGGATATGGACTTAACTTTAGCTTCATCTTTTTTTATTTCTACTTCCTTGCTTATGTTACTTTCATCACCCCTTCTTCACTCACTCCTGCCTGTACTTCTTTCTTCCTTTCAGGGGTTGACAAGATGCATTGGACCTGGATATGAGAGAATTAGACCTCAGCAATGCTATTCTCCCTCCTTTTTTCTTTCTCATTTTTAATTTATCTCTCTCTCTCTTTCTTTTTTTTTTAATAGCCCATGTGTGAGTTAAAAACTAGAAAATAAATGTAATCAAAATGTTCCAAACAAAATAACATTTTTCAGAAACAAGTTACATAAGAAATAAATAACAGAAATGGACGTTATGAGTGGACAGAAGTACCATAGTGATGGACGGCTGGGGTGGGAAAAGGTTTTATTTGTATTTATTTATTTTTGGGTCAGGGAGGGGATGGGACATCATAACTGTCTTTACTAGCATGAGTGTGTCTGTTTTAATTTTAAGATAACTACCCCTCATATGTTCTTTGCTAACTTAAATCACAATGGTAAATAGCTATAAGAGGTCTGTTATGTGGTTAATTTTATTTATGAGCAATTATAGTGCAAAGGGAGGATAAAAAAACTCAAGTGCAGAATCTCCTGTAAAGGACAGATACAAAGGCAATGACATGAGTAATAGGATGCAGTTTTGTGTCTTCACTACAGGACCAAGTGCTCTGCTTAACTTCCCTTTTATCTTCCAGTAGCTTAAAGCAAAAGACCCTTGGCAGGGGGTGACAATATCACACAACTTGGTGTATATAGATGGATGATGCAGTAAGACTTTGGATCACTTTTTGCTCCTCCCCCTGTCTCCCCACACTCCCTCTCCCCTGATAAGACTGATAACACAGGGAAAGCCAGCATCACCATTTTATCAAAATTTCCCAAGTTTTGGCTGTTTGAGTATGTTCTGAAGTGGAAGGAGGTTTCATTAGCCTTATCTTTAGTTGAAATAAACAGACACATACTTCTGCCTATAATGTACTCAGTCTCGACCTGTAGTGCTTTGCTTAATGCTTGCTGTTAATGTTTGAAGGACAAACAATCAAGTACCCCAATTCCTGTCTTTTAAGTTTGAGGGTTTGATGAAATTTTGAAAAAATGGTACTTCTCCCCTTTAAAATCAGTTGTATCCTATGCAGGCCTGATTTGACAGTCATGCACATTACCCTTGACTTGACTACAGTAAGTTAAGTTTTTGTTTGCTCCAATACTGTGATTAAGACAAAAATAAATACAAATTTGGTTTCTAACAAGACAACCCAATATTAAAAAGAGCACATATAAATCATGTCTTTATTTCTGTTTGTGATGAATTCTGGTGTTGTAATATATTGACCATATTGGCTGCTGTTGGCAAACTCCAAGAAAAAGGCATTAAAAGACAAACTAACTGTTGTTTGGTAAAGTATTTATGTAATGTGGGAGGATCTTATTTGCATTATTAACACTTTAAACTAAGTTAAAATACACAGACTGATTTGTTGTTCAACCTTTGGCTCTTGAGTTTGTTTTATATGTCAATCCTCTGACAAAGTAGCACCTGTTTTTTTTTAATTAACCATCAGAAAACCATGACATCTTTTCTTAGATTCATCAAGTGTAAAACAATTCCTTATTATTTATTATCAACAGTTTATAAACCAGCAATATTTGCTGCATGGGTCATTTATTACAATGTTAAAAAAACAAATTCAAAAGAAGTGGCTTTCAGCTCTCTTAAGGTGAGCCTCAGAAAAGAGTTTTCTGTAGCCTGGTACCTTGTCAAGATTATACTTTTAGAAGTTAATGAGGTTTTCCATGGTGAAAGAATCTCTGTCCAGTGTGAGGGAGGAAAGCATGTCGTGATGCTGGTTGAGATGAATTCTGGAATGGAGCCTAAAACATAATAAATAAATTAAGTTAATCTATCTGTCATGAATAAAATAAAAGAAAGCTTTATCCCCACCAAATCTACCATTTTTTAATTAACCAATAACATCTTTAATATTGAAAAAAGAAGAGGAGGTGTAGATTAAAGGTTCAAATGAAAATGATAAAATTGTTTAAAAAAGTATTTTTTAAATTAAAAACATAGAAATGTTTAAAGTAGCAACTAACAATGTACAGGCACTCAGATCTTTGACTAGATATTGTATCACTTTCAGTTATCACTATACTGTTTTTACACAACATCTGTTTTTACAAATGTGTCTGTTATTTTGTATTTTCATTCTTTTATATATTTAGTGCACTGTTGCACTCACTCAGCATGCAAAAGAAGAACTGATAAATCACAACAATCAGATAGTTAATTAGGGTTGTGACGGTGAGGACATTTTCCCACCGGTTAATCGACGTGCGACAACAACCGATAATACCAGTATCGCCGTGGGGTGGGGGGTTTCCCACTTTTTCTGGCTTTCCTTTGCTTTTAAATAGCTTGTAAACGCGGCGTGCGCATTAGGGGTGCTTCGATCAGGATTTTTGAGGCCGATCACCGATACTAATCTTTTTAAAGCCTTCTTTTGATCATGTAGAATTATTTATAGTGATGATCCAATGAAGATTTTTAGAAATTTATCCAGGGCCTGAATTTCATTTTTGAAAATGAATTCCCCTCTTAGGTGACTCTTGTGAGAGGGGATTTTTTAATTTGAGGGGTGGAGGGGGGCATTTTTTAGACATTTTTCAAAAATATATATATTTATCTCACCAAATGTTTGATCATGCACTGCATTTTTGTTTTGACAATCATGCAATTCTTGCATAATAGTTTACACACAGCACAAGTCTTTTTGAAGATTTTGTGAGCTGTATGTGAGGCGGCCTGTGACGAGAGGGGCGGGGCCGAGAGCTGTGGGAACGGAGCGAGGCCGGTGGAGTAAATGCTAATTCGCGAAACCTGCGCCACTCACCGGTCTCGAGCCCCACGGAGGAGCTCCGGAAGGATAAAAGGAGGAGTGACGACAGTGTTGGACGAGAGAGGACCAGGCCTGGACTTTATTTTGTGTTTTGGTTCTGTTTGTGCACGACAGTCATCCGCGAGGGGCTGTCGCGCTATTTTGTGTTTATTTTATTATTAAAGTTTTGTTTAAATGTTCACCGGTTCCCGCCTCCTCCTTCCCGATCTACAAACGGTGTTACATTGGTGCCGAAACCCGGGAGGAAGGAGGGACACGCTGCCAGAGATCCCTCGCCGCTGTGGGGAGTCCGTGGTGCCATCGAGCATGGCGGAGCAGTCTGCCGCCATGGAGGCTCGAGGCGGTGGGCTGGAGTGAGTTGCCGGGGGGGTGGACGAACTCGCTGCCGGCCGCCTATGCTGTGGAGGGACGACTGAAGCAGCACTGCACAGACCGTTCTGTGTGTGACATCAAAGTACCGCGAGAGCGATTAGACAGCATTTTTTACATTTTTGTTTTGATGTCAAATAAGCCTTGCTGTTGTAAAGTTATACAGCTACAGTTGTGTTGCTGGGTTTTAAAGCAGGTATGATTTTTTATTTTCTTCCTTATCACTCTGTATTTACAGGATTTCACTGTCCACTCTGTTCAAGTGTGGTTGAATGGTTACACATAGATGTGTGCACTGTGCACACTGTCAGAGCTGTGTGAGATCACTACCATACTGCTTTTGTGGGGGTGGGTATAGGGTGTTAATTTTTTTTTTTTTAACATTCTAAAAGCTCTTTATTCCAAAGAATACTACAAGCTAGTCAGTGTATTCAGTAGGTGTAATGTATTCTAAGTTGCTTCAGAAGTATTTCACTCAAGTAATGGAGTTGAGTACTTTGTCCGCCTCTGTATATAGCTCAAACAAGTGGCAAAACATTTAAACTACTTTGGTTAAATCTACTTCTACATTATCACAAACATTCTAAATTAAAACTTACCATAGACAGCAACAGTCAGCACTACTGCCTTTTCTTTAGCATTGAAATCTTTATTACAATTAATCCTGTGGTTCATAAAGAACTTTGTTTTCCTACCTCCACGAGTGCCATATATTATTGCCTTGTTTATCTAAAAGTGCTCTTTTCCTTTAAACCTAGCCAAAAACCCATAGCCTATGTGTTGACTGTGAAACACAGGATACTCTAATTATATGCATTTATGGTGTAATTACTACATTTTCGTGTCAATCCATGTTCATATTTACTGCAAACAATGCGCTGTTACTTTAATTCAGGGTTCATAAAGAACTTTGTTTTCCTACCTCCACGAGTGCCATATATTATTGCCTTGTTTATCTAAAAGTGCTCTTTTCCTTTAAACCTAGCCAAAAAGCCATAGCCTATGTGTTGACTGTGACACATCAGACTTTAATTATATGCATTTATGGTGTAATAACTACATTTTCGTGTCAATCCATGTTCATATTTACCGCAAACAAACTGTTACTTTAATTCAGCGCTTGCAGCGCAGCAAAACTTGGTGCGGAAAC